CCAGCTCTATCTCACCAAATCCTACCATCACTCCCCAAAATATCACATTCCAGTCACAGTTAAATTATTGGATCTTTTTTCACATCCTATCTCTTTTTGCTTTTGCACAACCTGTTCTATTTGTCCCTCTGTCTCTCTTTCTCTCTATTCTACAAGGTAATGTTTTCATCAATAGACTTATCTCAAATACCAAGGAAGTCTCTCCTTAAGCTACATTAGGTCCTCCTTCTTATTATAAAGTAGTCTCTGAATATCTATAAAATTGCCTTTAGTATATGCTTTTGTATCCAGCTGCCCTACAAGCAATAAGGGACTCTAGTAAAGTTGATTATTTTTTTTAAATTTTAATGTATTATTTATTTCTGAGAGAGAGAGAGACAATGTGAGCAGGGGAGGGTCAGAGAGAGAGGGAGTCACAGACTGAAACAGGCTCTGGGCTCTGGGCTGGCTGTCAGCACAGAGCCCGAGATGAGGCTGGTACCCATGAACCATGAGATCATGACCTGAGCTGAAGTCGGATGCTTAACCGACTGAGCCACCCAGGCACCCCTAAAGTTGACTATTTTAAGTTATTAAGATAAAACTCAAAGTGCCTTGAGGGAAATGATGATACATTAAGCCTGATAGTATTCTGAGCATAACATAGAGTGAAACACATAGCAAGCACTTCATATGTACCTGTTGAATTAATATACAAGTGCAATATAAATTAATGCTGAAACTGCAGTAAAAAATCTTCAGTTGGATTTCCAATTGTCTGATAAAGTGATAAGAAAATTATACAAAATGATCACCATCAGGAAAAAGTGGGATTTTAAGACATCTGCGGCACACTCAGGGAAGTAAATTCAGAAGTATCCCTATGTCAGATAGTATTTAATTTGCTTATTTAAGGAGGAAAAAGCCACTGGCATTTAATTTGTCTGCTTTTCTGCGATAAAAAAATGATTCTAAAATTCAGGGCTTATAAACGTGCTTTACTTCTTATTTATGTTATTTGTCTGCACCTGCAGATGAGCTATGACTCTGCTCCACATGACTTCATCATGGTACCCAAGGTGAAGGAGAAGTCTCTCTTTGGGTCATGCTAGTTTCATGTCAGAAGGAAAGAATGTGATGAAAACACAAACAAAAATATGTGATTCTTCTTGCAGCCTGATTGATTTCAGTCACCATGTACATCGTTCGGCTATGTGCCATTGGCCAGAACAAGTCACTTCATCAACTGGGTGGGGGTGCACACTCTCCCACTGGAAGCACCACAATCAACATTTCAATGAGCAGCAATACATAACCTCTTCAAGGGAAGAAAGAGAAGTATCTCTAAAGCAAACTACACATAGGCATTAAGAAATATGATAAGAAAGTCATAGAAGGAGTTAAGAAAAAAGATACTCCTAACACTTAGTATAGCTGGTACCACAGAGGAACCTAGCAAAAATATCTTTCACTTAATTATTGAAACAAAAGAGTATGTATTGTAAGAAAAGAAATATGATGGAAAAGTTTTCAAGAAAAGAAATATGATGGAAAAGTTTTCAAAGAGCAAAAAATAGGAGAAAGAACAGAGCTGTATCCAGAGCCAAGATCTCACAAGGAAGCAGCCAATATACATAAATAGTTGCCTGGAGCCTTTGGTCAGGACTCCTGGACACTTGAAGGGGAAGGAGAGAAACAAAGGAGGTCCAGGATAAAATCCAAATCATGATAAGAATAGGTAGCAATTAAGAGAGAGGGCTCACAACATAGGCTGAGGAAAAGGTCATAGAACAGGTCTAATTTGTAGTTGAAGAAAGATAAGATAATGTGGATAAAGCTATTGCTTTTATTTTACCATTATTTTTTTGCGGCCTCGAACTTTTCACTGAAATACCTTCAAGAGGTTTAATAAGAGAGAGATATTAAGAAGATATTTTTAAGGTAAGCTCAAAATTGAAAAGCAGGAGAAGAGTCAATACGACTGGATCAGAATGACTTTTCTGGCTGAAATAAAGGCAAAATGTGAGAGCAAAGCACAGATGAACTGGTGACATTAGTGAATGCACTCCCTTGACAGGGTCCAAATGTATCATCCAGAAGGGGAATAAATTGATGGTTGATTTTCGTGAACACTGTTATTTTGAAGAAAAGTGATGCCAGGAATTCTAAGGTATGAGAGTTTTTGACCATAAAGGGAAAATGTGACTAATTAGAATGAGTGGAGATAAAGCAGTGTTTGAGCAAAGGTCAGATTAGGATCTGTAGTTGATTCTGTGAGAGGAAATTGGGGATGTTAAAGGAGAATGATTGCCCTTTGGGAGGATCAGTGTGATGCAGACAGAACAGAAAACTACCTATAGGACTCATGTGAGTGGCACAAAAGAACAGAATCCAGTGTTTATCCACTTGTGAACTGTGACATAATAGGAACAGACATACAGAACAACTAAATATTCTCATTTGAGTGTTTACCATGATGGATTAGAAGATTCAAACTTTGTTAACTGCAAACAGTTTGCTTCCTTCAAAATAAATGTAATCATATATGAACATTCACTGGTCAACTACTATGGAAACAGATTAGGATATTTATAAATATGTTAAAGTATTTAAAGCATTCATTTAATAATATTAAAGGTATTAAAAATACAATAGCAAAATAGCTAATAAAAGGTGAATATGCTATGTCTCCAGATATCATTTTTTTAAATTAAAAACATTAATAGTTATGCATTTTGAAAGAGAGAGAAAGAAGAGAGGGGCAGATAGACAGGAGGGAGAATTCCAAGCAGGATCCACACTGTCAACCAAGAGCCCGACATGGGGTTAGATCCCACGAACCCTGAGATCATGACCTGAGCAGAAACCAAGAGTTGGATGCCTAACCAACAGAGTCCCCAGGTGCCCCTCATTTCTTTCTATATTAGAGTTGAGTTACTGGTAAAAATATGTGCATGATTTGACAAACATATATACATACATATATAACATCTAATAGTAAACATTACATACTGCTTCCAAAACTTTACAAATAATAATTAATATTGTAATTCCCTTTTTATTATTATATTTTTATTTTTTTAATTTATTTCAGAGAGAGAGACAGCATGAGCAGGGAAGGGTCAGAGAGAGAGAGGGAGACACAGAATCGGAAACAGGGTCTAGGCTCTAGCTAGCTGTCAGCACAGAGCCAGACACAGGGCTTGAATCCACGAACCGTGAGATCATGACCTGAGCTGAAGTCGGATGCTTAATTGACAGAGCCACCCAGGCGCCCCATGTAATCCCCATTTTAATAAAAAAAAATACCAAATGCAGGATTTGCTTATGACAAAATACATTTATATATGGCAACAAAAATTATTTTGGAAATAAAGCACATTGGAGAGTGAAGTCAATAATTAAACTAAATAATGTAAGTTATCTTTACTGTATACAATAAAGACAAAATAGTTTAGAGATACTTATAGATAATAGAAATGTATGAATATGTAGACACATACCCCCATTTTAAAACTATTCTTCAAGCACTGAAATCCTCCACCTGTGTGGAAGGTCAAAACCTGCAGACTATGGCACTCTTAATAAATACCAGACTCAGAAACTCTAAAAGAGAAAAGCTTCTCCTCTGAATGCCTGGCACTTCAGCCTCCTCCATGGGCATAAGCAATTTCTACAAGCCTGTCTAGTTTCCCAGTCATTAATATCTACTCTATTCCATTATATTATCCACAAATCCCAATTAATTATAGACTTGGAGAAGGAGAGAAAAAGAGAGCAGTGTTTTAATATTCTCTTTCTCTTTCAGCATAAACTTTGTGGTTAAGCTGCCTTTACTGTAGAAAGGGAAAGACCAGTCAACTCTTTTAGATGCATATGAGATTCCTAGTGTTCTCCAGTCTTAAAGAACTGCAGAGCTAGTTCATGGCAGGATAGGGACAAGATACAGAAGAAGACACAAGTTTATTCCTCTCTGTCCCAGCCCTAATTCATAGGAAACATATGACTAACTTCTTAAATTTATATTTTGTCTTTTGCATAAAGAAAAAATGACATTCTGCTTATAGAACCCTATGAGATTATGGTTCCCACTAACTTGTCATTTTAAAGCAGAAGAAAAACCAAAAGTGCATTTTGTGCACTGTTATTGCTAATATTTCCATATGGCTGAAACATGGGCTACTCATGGGTGAATGTTAGAGAAGAGGGACTGGTGATCATAAAAGTCATCCAACACCATGAAAAGTGGTTTTGATTTTGTCTCAAAGTTAAAGAGAAGCACTGACAATTTTAAGTGATGAAAGGGTGGATGGAGAAGTTGAATTATGGGACTGAGAGCAGAGGAAACAGCTTGTAGCAATTCAAGAAAAAGAAGAAAAACAATTTGAAAGGGCAGCACTCTTATCGAGGGCGTCATGGTAGAATGTATTTGAGAGATGTTTAAAAAAATGTGTTGCGTATGTCAATTATAGATTAGAGTACCAAAATGGAGACAGCTAGGATAACATTAAAGTATCTTCTGGGATTATAGAATGTCATGTTAACACAGGCAGAAAATACAGCAGGAGAAGCCAATTTGGAAGAAGAGATGTCATCGTGATGCCATAAACTTAGTTATTAATCTCCTTATGGATTCAATTATTAAATTTAAATTTGAGAAAACCTACACAACTGTTTAAGCCACCAGTTTAAGCCACCAGTGATTCACACAATTTAAAAGTAAAGTCTAGTATGATACTTTACTATGTTTCACTTGGCATTCTTTCAACAACTACACAGCCAGCAAAAGGCAACCACTCCCTTAACAGAGTAGAAGAGTATAAAAAGATGACAGCATTAAAGAAGTCACGGATCCTGCCGTTGAGGCTACAGACAGCATCACAGATGTGACCATAGAGATGGAGAGATTTCCTCCAGGTATCAAACAGGTTATTAAAATGCTGTATTTATATGGTTGCCTTTTTAATAAACTTATTGCTAAAATGCACTGATAAAATATGTACAAATTATTCTCTGCTTACCATTAACAATAACGATGATATCACGGAAGTCAATTTCTCCCCTAGCTTCCACTCTTCCTTCACACCTGTATATACCTTCATCACTCTTATTGATGTTGAGAATCTGCAGATTATTGTTGGCTAGCATAGCAAAGCGATCTAGAAAGTAAGCAAAGGGGAGGAAATGATATCAGTAATTGAAAGCAGAGTCCAGTATGTTCTAAATTGCTAAGAGTTAAAATATGGCACTTGTCTGATACTATCAAACTTTTCATCAACAAACAAATTCAAATTTGAAAGTAAAATGTAATTTCATGGCTTCAATTTTTCCACCACACTGCCTTGTTACACCTTTTTTTCTAAAATACATTCAAGACTTTATTTCCACATAAAATGGTTAGGCTATTATTTTCCCCTTGGTACTTTGAATGCAGAAATGATACACAAAAGAACAATGCTGAGAGATTAGATATTGCAGACATGAAGATATTTTGACTGCAAATATGTAGCAACTCGGGTATGGAAAAGGATTAGAAAATTGAATAGCTTTCCCAATAATTAAACTAATAATTTTGTATACCCTGAAGAGGCAGCTAAGTGATACAATAATATTCAAGTCATATAAAGGACATATAAAATGGCCATATCTTAATTTAGTTGATTTTTTTCCTAAATGCAAGATAATCCACTTTAGTTATGAATAGATTACTTTATTAACTTTATTTCAATATTCCATTTTATGTGTGAGTGTATGCAAATGAATATACATAAATATAAGCTGTTACAGGGCATGCATTAGTTGATTGCTTAAAGTAATCTGGCTAGTCTTGGCATCATCCAGCCTGACGGTGTTTTCCATTATGTCTGGTCTGGTTTTTTTAATCATGGCAATTTTGTTGCAGTGTTAGGATCTTTTCTCTACTTATCAAGTGAGTAAGAGTCTCACATCTAGTCCACTTTAAAACATGTTGTAAATGCAATATCCTAAATTTCATCAATTAACATATCATTGAACATCATCTTTTTGGTATGTATAGTATTTGAGATACTTTGGTAAATAAGAGAGACACATCCTCAACGCCCTTGAACCTTTTGGGAAAGTAGAAATGGCATTAGTTTAAGGTGCTCCGCTCTGGGATATATACTGTTATATTATTAAAGGTTACTTTTTGGATCTATTTCAATGTTTACTGCTCTTCCCCTATCTGCTGGCTTGATAGACAGGTTAGGGTAAACACGGAAGACACATGAGAAAAAGGTAGAGCCTCCCTTAGCCTGGATCGTTGAATGGATGGGTGGGGCTGCTGACTGGACATAAACTGCTATACCAGGTTGTTTTGGATTCAGTTCAGATTTGGGATTCATTTGCCATAGCGATGCCTTAATGAAATTTCTTAATGCCATACCAATTCTAGTTTGGACTACAAATACAAATAGGGGAATGATCAGAATATGAGAGGACTATGTTTAATAAAGGTAAGCAAGAAATAATTACTAAAGAGTGGAAATAGGTAGAATCAGATGCTCCTAGAAATGGAAAGTATTGATTGTAGAGCAAGTGACACATGATTTTCAGCTCAGGAAGTACATTAATAGTCCCCCTATCTATGGTTTTGCCTTCTGCAGTTTCATTTACCTGCAGTCAATTGTGGCCTAGAAACAGATGATCCTCCTTATGACATTTTATCAGGACTACATCACAATGCCTACAACATTCACCTCACTGCCTCTCATCATGTAGGCATTGTATCATCTCACACCATCAAAGGAAAAAGGGTGAGTTCAATACAATAAATTATTTTGAGAGAGAGTAGCCATACTCACATAACTTTAAATACAAAACATTGTTGTAATTGTTCTTTTTTATTATTGGTAATTGCTGTTAATCTCTTAATCTGGTCATCCTTGATTTCTCCATCTCCCTCCATCTACATATCCAATTAAATCTCATGTAGTGTCACTTCCCACGTTATCATTACTTAGTCTAAATCTCCTTCTCCTTCAGCAATTACTTCATTAGGATTTGAACCATTATCAATGCCTGAAGTTTTGCTCTGACTACCATTCAACTCATTCTTCTCACTGAAGCACTAATATCATTCTCAAATTCATATCAGGTTATGTTAATGCCCTGATTAAAATGCTTTAGTAATGTTGCTTTTGGATAAATTTCTTAGCAAAAATGTCAAATTCATGATGACTTGGCTTAAGAATCCTTTTCAGTTTCTTATCTTATTAGTTCTTAATGCAAATTCTACTTTATATTTATCTATTAGTATAAGTATTCCAGTTGCACTTATTCATAAATTTTCATTATAATGAACTTATTCCAGTTTCTAGGAAGCACCATTCATGGTGCTTTTCACCTCCAGGCCACTGCAGATGGTGTACTCTCTCCTGAAAAGTCCCCCGACTTAAGGGTTACTTGTCTCGTCCACAGGAACCTTGAACTCCCACCTCTGCCCTAACAAGTTGAGGTATTCTTATCTGCTATCATTGCACTTTCCTTCTCACAGATTTCAACATACTTTGTTTTCACTGATTTATCTATTAATCTTTTCTACTAGATTATTAGCATTTGAAGGCAGTGAACTTGTTTATCAAGTTAACTATGAATAACCACCATGTAGCATGCTAGATGTCACATAGAATTTTCAACAACTAGTTCAAAAGTAAATGAATTTCTAACTGGAAGAAGATTACATAAAAAAAATCTTGAACAAGATGATTTTATCCACAGTTTTTGATGCAAAAAGGTATTTCACTTGGCAATGATCAAAGCATTTAGAACATTTTAGAGATAACTTGAAAACTGGCTGCGGTAGAAATGGGCATCTGCAATACAACCCTCCATTGAGAGGGCACTAAAAGTCAGGATTTTAAACTTTTGTAGCAAAGTGCCACATTTACTTCCTAAATACTTAATTTTTAGCAGATGGATTATTTTCAACAAGAACCACAAAAAACCCCCACTCAAAATATTCTAATGGAATTTTAATAAAGAATACCTGCCACACAGCTGCTACCAAAAGCATAGCTAATAAGTTGAACATTTCCCAGCCTTCATTATTTCATCCGGAGCCTGAAAAGTTTACTCACTCACCACATTAAGGATTCAGAAAATTACCTGGATACAGGATACACCATATTCTTCTAAATCCCCTTATAAGTTTTTTCATGGTTATAAACCTAATCTTTTACATTAACTTTAATAAAGGGATCATACAAGGTATTATCAGATGAAGAATATTATTTCTTGTAAAGTCACTATGAATGTACAAGTTGACCAACAATTAACTATGTGGCAGGTTCCTCTGATATTAAAAGGTTAGAAAAGCTTGTCCTTCCTCACAATTCATCTAAATCCTTTATATCCTAAAATTAAAAAGAAAAAAAAAAAAACGTCATTTATTTTCTTTGCTTGCCATGCAACTCAGAACTAGGTTTCATGCTTACTCTAGAGTAGTCCCTTCCCCTACATGGGATTCTTTTATTCTAGATAAAGCCTGAGGGTCTATAATTTTAGTAAAACTTATTCTCAAGATTTAAAAACTCAACGAGAAGAAAAGAGAAAGATCAATGTCATTTTGCTGAGAACCTGATAGATACACACAAAAAAAATATATTCATTCATTTAACAAATATTTATTATGTGCTTAAAGTCTTTGAAACTCAAAAGCATTGTTTAAAATGGACACAATAACCCTCTTTTACAGATACAGAATCTGAATTAGATACAGAATGGTTAGAAAAGTTATTCAAAGCTTCAGAGCCAAGGAGTTGAGACATAATGGAATTCCACCTTCAAATACTTCTATACTGGAGAAAACTGTGTGAGCTATGGTTCAAAGCAGTGTCCCTCCAGCACTATCACACTGGACCATCAATCTTGGCTTTGAGGCTTTTGTTCTTTGTGTCTTTTAAAAACTATAATTCATTTCAAAACCTTCTTGTAATTAAGGCTTACAATAAACCAGATGCACACTTGAAGCCTAAGATGAGGCAATTTTAAAATGTTTAGACATTGTCATTTAACTGCTATAAAAGAACTGCCTTTTCTTTATTATTGAGGGTAAAATAGCTGAAAGTACATTGTACAATGTACTCATGTGATCTGTTAATAAAATATAAAGCAGTTATCCTAAAATAAAATAAGAGGAAGTAAAGTACTATTTCTTACTTATTATAATAGAGAAAAAGAGAATTAGTCAATAACTGACAAGCACTGAAAATGCTAAGACCAGAAAAAATTTTTCTTAAAAATTTAAAAAGACTATTAAACATGATTATGATACATTCTCTGTACATACTCAAAAATAGATACTATCTGCTTTCTCTCCTTTATGCTATAAAAGTTTATCTCTTAGAAACACATAACAGAATCATCCAAGATGGAAAGTATTTAAAAAGATTCAATTATTTCGTATCTCTGTGCAATGCAGGTGCATTGAAAAATATTCTAAATTGAAAATGCTCCCAATGCACAATGGTAAAGTAGCATAATGTAAGCAAATTATGCTTTCAATTTCAGATGTCATATTATTCTGGAATTTTAGCTCAGTCTGAATCAAAATTATGAAGACAATTTGAATGAATGCACTTTTCTGTCTATTATCCATAAGCATCTTACCATAATATTTAGAACATGTAGGTGTCTTTGAAAGAACAGTGCCAGAATAATAAACAGGATTCATATGGATATTATTTTAAGCCCACCAGATCATGTATAAATTGTAATATATAAAATTTAAATGCATCAGGATTAATTCCTTCATTTACGTATTATCCTTCTGCTGTTTGTACTAAGAATTCTTGAATAGGATAAGGGTCAGCAAACGTTTTCTGTAAATCTCCAAGTGATGAATATTGTAGACTTTGAATGCCACACCATCTGTGTCACAACTATTCAACCCTCTCCACAAAGCAGCCATACAAACTATAATGGTCAGGTTACAAACACAGCATAGGGGCTGACTTTGGCCCAAGATCCATAGTTTGCCAACACCTATTTTAGAGCTTGAAGGTTCTCATAACAGTGGTTTGATATTTGGGATCAAAATATAAAAAAAAGAAATTTCTATATTCAGTCATGTAGATTCAGTCTTTTTAAAAATTGCAGTATTATGAGAACATATAATTTAGGGAGTTACCAAAATACTAACTGTCGGAAATAGCGGTGACTTCCTCATTATGATACAACCAGCTGACAGCGGGGGCAGGTGAGCTGCTAACTCGGCAAACCACTTCTGCATCCTCTCCTTGTTTGAATTCTTGAGGAGATACCACTTCTCTGAAAGTGAGTTTTTCTGTATCAAGAAAGTAAAACAAACCGGAAAAGTATTATTGTTCACTTCTAAATAACGTATTCCAAAATCTGTGTGGATTGATGCCATAATAAAATCATTAGTTAACTCTGGATCTCAAGCCAGATAATGTGATTCCTCAAGTCAGTAACTTCGCATCTCACTGAGAAGAACGTTCAAAGTCCTCACAATGCCATACTAGGTCCTATGCAAACTAGAGTCAGCCCCACAACTCTGATCCCAATATCTACTCTCTTTTCTGAGTCCCTGTGATCCAGACAAACTGTATTCTTGGCAATTTCTCGAACACTCCAGGTTTGTTCCTCTGCTTGGGCATTTGTGCTCCTTTGAATCCCTTCATATTTCTGCTGCACCTTCACAGGTGAAATAACCATCTCTCTTCCCAATTCAACTCCTCTATCTCTTTACCCCCTAATTACCTTCACTAGAGAATTCTACAGCATGGTTATTTAGCATCTATATATTGTTTATAAGCTCATTCATTGTTTGTCTTTCTCCACTCACTAAAACAGAAGTACCAAGTAGCCAGTGACATTTTCTGTTTTAGTTGCTACTTTCTAGGACCTTGAATATTGTCTATCATGTAGCAGACACCCAGTAAGTGTGTTGAATGAATGAATGAACAAAGATATTTATGCTTGATGAGAAATTTCCACAACAGTGATTCACTGTTCTTGCCAGGGGTGAGGAAAGTCATTTCTTTAGTTTACAAACAAAACACCAGCTACCTTCTTTTGCATCACTCAAAGGAATGAAAAATCTTTCCAAATACTATGTCCATGAAATGCTCACTTCAATTTAAGTTTTTCTATTTATCAAATAGGTATAGTAGGAATCACATAAACAAGTATACTCTCTTTTCTTAAGGAGCCTAGAAACTAAAAGGAGTTGGGGGAAAGTCTAAATCAGGAAAAATGAGGACAATACTGTCCCAACAAAATGCCCTGTGCATCAAAGAGGAAGTCATGCCTTGGGAATGCTTTGTCTTTTTTCTCATGTCTTATTTCTAGAATAATAACAACAATAATAATAAAGCTGTGGGTAAAGGGTATCTTATGAGTTATTATTTCAAACATTTTATAAATTTTCATATATTTTTCATTAATGTGTAGTAGAAATACTATTGCATTTGAATTGTGAGGCATTATTCTAAGGGCTTTATACAATATTAATTGATGTAGTGCTCAAAAATTTCTATGTAAGAGGTAAGTACTACTATTATATCCATTTTACAGATGATGAAACTGAAGACAGAGAAGTTAGGCAATTGCTCAAGGCCACAAAATTAAGTGATACTGCCTGGTTTCAAACCTAGGGAGTCCACAGGCTTCATTCATAGTGTTCTTAAACAGGTTAACTATTCCTAAATGTAAGAAGGAGGAAGGAATGTAGAAAAATGTCGATCTTAATTCCAAAAATCAAGTGTAAGTATGGAAAACCATGTTAATGAAAATTTTGTCGGTAAAGAATCCAGTTAGGTATTATTCTCCACTAAATGAATTTCCAGCTTTTTCTGTGTCTACCTCTGTTTACCGACCCTTCCTCAATTCTCATTCTAGACTGGTCGCTGCTATCATATATGTAATTTCATTTATTCTAATCCTGACCTTTTATTTTAGAGTGAAAACTACTTCTGATAAATTCCTTAAAACTAAATAATCACTGTTTTCTATTTACCCAACAAATTTTTAATGGCTGGAGAACATGAAAACATTTTCACCTCTATTATTGTACTCCAGAATTGGCTCCATCTATATATTTATAATAAACTATTTCCTATTATCTATTCCATGTTAGCGACGCACCATAGCAAAATATAAATAAACTGATACTTGTAATGGTATTAGAACATCTTCCAGCACATAGCTCTTCATGAGTGTTAATTTTTATTAAGCACATTATTTATGCTCAATTTTTATACTACCGCAATTTCAATCAACTAATAAGTGCATAACTTACGGTAAATTTCCAAAACAACTGTGGCTTCTTGTGTCTGTCCTTTGGCGTCTGTTGCTTGACAGCGATATATCCCTGCATCCTCTATATTTGCATTGTAGATGGTTAATCGTGATCTAACACCTTCCTTTTGCACTGCTACCCTCTGTGTTGAAATTATCTTCTCTCCTTGAGGATTGTACCAATCTATACTCTCAGGTTCACCAATTGCTGCAGAGAGCCATGGAAAAGAAATGTTTGAAAATATGTCTCAAGTGCTTGTTTTGGCATTGACATTTACTATTATGTAACAACTTTTAACAATTTAGACAAAAATGTAAATAAGAGAAGGCTGGAAGTCTCCAAATCTTACAAAATTGAAAGTAAACACAAATGTTAGCACACATGTTCATCCTTATTTATCCAATGTTGAGAATTCAGTCCTGTTTGCATAAGCAAAACCCAAAAGTTCTACAGGAAATTTCCAGTACGGTAATTCCACTCTGATAGTTGAAACTTTACCATAGCAATTTATGAATTATTACTACAGTTAAGTTATGAAACTGCATTGGCCACTGAGTCGGATATTAATTACATGTGACATATATCTGAACAGAAACAAGATTACTAACATGATTTCATGTGTTCCCAATTCTCTTTGCTAGGGTCAGGAAGACAGTACGTTTTCCCTGATAAAGCACAGCTTATAAAAATGTAAATCTTACGCAAAATAAACTCTGGCTTTTGATAATACTGAATTTGGAATTAATTTCCCAGGTTGTTAAACTTGCACAGATAAGGCCAATGACTCTTTTTAAAATGAAGGCCTAATCTCTTTTCTCAACTAAAATGAATACTTTCATCATTTTAATCTAAACCTGTTAACTATTTAATCATATGATAATTAGAATGCATTGAAATGATACTTATACTGCTAGGCAATTGCAACCAAATCATTACAAGGTAAACATTTATTTAAGGTTTCCAATTCAGAATCCAGGTTATTATCCTCTTCGTAAAAGCTGAAGCTTCCAATGTTTGCTTTTATTCATCAAAAGGATGTATTTCACCTAACTACTTGAAAGATAATTTGTGGAACCAGTATACGCTATTAACTCAAAAATATCAGGGAAAAAAATGCATATAGTTAACTAACATCTGCAGGACCACTTTGAAGAACATTTTTTCTTCTTATACTTTCCCAAGAAATGGCTTTAGAAACAAATTATCGTGCTTTCCGTATCAAATTAGACGTGCTTGAGCAAAAAGTATGAAAGAAACTTTAGTTAAATCTTAAATGGATCTTAGTTATGTTAGCTTCAGTTCTTTCCAGACAGAGCCATAAAACCATAGTGGTTATGGGATAAATCATTCGGGGAAGTATTTGTTTTAATTCCCATCTCATAGAGAAGTTACAAATGAATAATTTAAGTGAACATCATTTTAAATTTGAACAATACAAAATATCATTTTATGTAATAAATTATATAGAACATTCTGTGAAATATTTTCATTCTTGATAATATACTATAAATTTCATTATCATGGAGAGTACTCTGTATTTTCATAGAGCAGCCATTATTCTCTTTTTATGACATCTTTAATATATAATTTCCAGTAAAACTTTTCATGTTATTTTATTAAGACTGGACTACTGGATATACTAATAAATAACATCATAACTTTTATTTTCTTAAAAATGTGGTATACAAATTCATTTGTTATTTATGACATAACCGTATTTAGCTCTCTGAGGGTCTGACTACTTTCTAATGTAAATTTAAGACATTTATTTTACTGAGAATAGATGCGTATGTTTTAGTGTCAGGAAACTATCAACTTACTCAGCCTTGTAGTTAAAAAAAAATACATATATATATATATAAAATAATATATAGAAAATATATATGAAGCATTTCTGTTTGCAAGTGTTTCCCACATCTTTAGTTTTAGATTCTGCTTTCACTGTTGTATTTAACATATATAAGACCATTTCCATGACAAGCGTATGGTTCTCACTTTCACATCTTTGTATAAAAGGAAAAAGATGTTTAATTATTTTGTCTTATTTTAAGAGTACCATTTTAGTATCATTGAATGATGTTAATTCATTCTTTTAAAATGATTCCTTATTTTGACCGTATGTAATACCTACAGAGGTAATAACATTATATAATGTTATATATAGTATATATACTTGTTATATACAACATACATATTTGTTGTATATAACACATCTAAGAAAATTATACAATTTCATTTACAAGGTTCATTTTTATACTATTTAATTATTCTGTGATTCTGTTACACAGTTGAGCAGTGCATGCTCATGTGTGCATTTGTGTGTATAAAATATGAAAAAGATTTTAAAACAATGATCTTCACTCTATTCCAAAGCTCTGCTGCCATAATATATGATGTTGAACCAATATCTCACTTGCTCTCTTTCTTTCTTTTTGTCAACATGCAAAAATATTATCAATAGACCTAGCAATTCAGACCTTTAGGAAGGCAAAAATATGAAGAATCATGGCCTCTATTAGTTTTTCATGAGATATGGTATTATATATACATAATATAATGTAATACATATTATAGTATATTACATATGATTTATAAATATGTTATAACTGTTTCTTTCTTTTTTTTTTGAGAGAGGAGAGAGAGGGAGAGTACAAATATAGGGTAGGAGCAGAGACAGAGGGAGAGAGCCAATCTTAAATAGATTTCGTGCTCAACTCAGTGCCCACCGCTGAGCTCGAACCTGTGAATGGTGAGATCATAACCTGAACCTAAATCAAGAGTCAGATGCTTAACCGAATGAGCCACCCAGCAACCTGTAAATGAATATTTTTCATAACTTTAGGTTTGAAAGCTTACATGCATAAAAATGAATTTGATGACGGGGCGCGTGCGTGGCCCAGTCAGTTAAGCGTTCGACTTAGGCTCAGGTCATGATCTCATGGTTCATGAGTTCGAGCCCTGAGATGAGCTCTGTGCTGACAGCTAGCTCGGAGCCTGGAGCCTGCTTCAGATTCTGTGTCTCCCTCTCTCTCTGACCCTTTCCTGCTCACGCTGTCTCTCCTCTCTCAAAAATAAATAAAATATTAAAAAAATGAATTTGATAAATATAAATAGAAGTACAATGTGTGCGTTTGTGACTTGTACAGTATGCTGAATTAGAATCTGTTGCTTAAGTATTTAAATGTCTTCTGAAAAAGTTCTGCATGTGCATGATTAAACTAAATTAGATCCATATAATTATGATATATGATACTTTTGATTAATATCTACAAAATTCTTGCCAAAGTTTTGCTGATTAAATATCTAATATTTTTTAATTCACTTCTCATAAGGACAGATTTGATTTGCTTTGTCCTCAAGTTTTCATTCAGGTGTAACTATAGTGCAGTGTGCCATATCTAATTTATTCATTGCATATTTTTTTTTATTTTTTTTTAAGGTTTTTATTTATTTCTAGGAGAGAGAGAGAGAGAGACAGCGTGAGCAGGGGAGGGTCAGAGAGAGAGGGAGTCACAGACTGAAACAGGCTCCAGGCTCTGAGCTGGCAGTCAGCGCAGAGCCCGACGCGGGGCTCGAACCCACGAACCGCGAAATCATGACCTAAGCGAAAGTCGGACGCCTAACCGACTAAACCACCCAGGCGCCCCATTCATTGCATATTTAAAAAGATAATTCAGTTATAATAGTTATATTCTTCCTAATATTACTATTTATACAGGAATAATATTTGAATTTATTTAAGTTATTGTGCATAAATCATATCTGATAATAAGTTATTTTCAAAATAAATGAGCAAACTAGCTTGAGAGTCAACATTAATACCTTGATAACAGAAATAAAATTCATAGTTTTTAATATGCAAAATATGTTTACAACCTCCCAACATCAGAAGCCCGGTGATAATATAAGATGTTATTTTTAGAGAATTGTTTTTTATTATTTAAATTTTGCCAATATATAGTATTAAATAATTAAAGCATAAAACAAGTTATCATTTTAAAATACTTGTACACATACATACCTGTACATGTGAAGAATTTAGATTCGCCCACGCTAAGCTCTACTTTGCTAAGTGAAATTGTCACTTGAAGAAGAGCTGAAAAAAAATTTAAATAATAATTAAGTATGGTTTTAAATAAATTCTAAGATCTTATTACATGATCTGTAAACTACAGAAAATTATTTTCCCTGTAAATTTTTATTACTTGTAAAAAAAATGGAAGTTTTATAAAATACAATCTAATTATGACAATCTAACAACATTATGTCTGTTACATTAGTATACAATTTACAACTAGACCAATACAGGGCTCAATTAACCTAACATGTTGAAATTTATTTCCCAAGTAAATGAATAAATTAATACTCACTTCCATATTTACATTCTTGGTTATATATGTACTACCATGTTGAGCAATAACTACAGAAAATTTTTGCCCAACATTTGGAATCTTATTTGAAAGAGTAAATCCTATACTGTCAGTGTAACAATAAATATATAAATTAACTACATTTTGACAACATGCTAAAATATTTCCATGAAAGAAGAAAAAATATTGCATAAGAAACATGAATAAAAACTGTTTGTATAAGATAAATAAAGTGAAGGAACCAGGACCTTGGTAATAAAATAGAGGAGCTGTTCAATTAATTTACTGTCAAATTGAAAAATAAAATAAATGAATACTCTATAATTTTAAAAGATAATTAGAATTATAGTTTAATACAAATTGAAAGACTTATTTCTAATAGTATGGTAGACAAGATATTGTACCTACATCCCAAACCCATTCCACTATCCCTTACTTCCACATATACATTATCTGAGCTTTCAGTAAAATAATGGAGCCTCAAGAGGAAAATAATATAAAAAATCTAAAAGCCAGAGTATAAAGTTGCTACTGATAATATGTAGATTGTAGTAACCAAAAGGTGCGCAGTTTGCACAAACATAGGATCAAAACTTGTCTATAAAAGAGGATGCTATAGAACACCAGATAACACTGGACCAAAATCAAATTATCCTTAGGAATGAGAAGGGTATACAATAAATCAAAGGCAGAAAGGCAGTGATGGAAGTTGACTCTTCTGGACTGTGCAAGGAGGAAATGTTTCTATTTAAGTAGATTAACCACACTCTGCCATATCCTAGGTTTGAGAATTTAATCATAAATACATGTTCTTTGGGAAACTCCAAGCTGAAAATTTAAACAAAGTAGCAGGGCCACATGTAAAGCTCAAGCTAAGTGGCAGACTTGAACACAAATCCCTTTCAGAGGAACTTACATCACTAGCCCTCACTGCCCAAGATTTTTTTTTTTTTTTTTTTTGAAGTAGGCTTCAGGCCTAGCATGTGGGCTCTGAACTCAGCCTTGAGATCAAGACCTGAGCTGAGATCAAGAGTTGGACGCTTAACCCACTGAGCCACCCAGGTGCTCCCACATTGCTTAAGATTTTTATAAATGAAGTTCTTCTTAACCTAAACTCATATTCTAACATTATAAAAACCATGGTGAAATAAGGCACTACGAGCAAGAGTCAATTAAACATCCAAAAGGACAGGCAGACCCATGGAATTTCAAACAAAGAAAAAGAAATTAGACTAAGAGTGTAACTTAACTATGTTGGAAACAACTAGAGAAATGAAATGGAGAATCAAAAACATGAGAAAAGAAAACATTTCTCAAGGAAGACTTGCGGGAAAAGTTTAAGCTCTTTAAAATATGTTTCCTTGTACTCCCCATCACTGAGGGATAAATTCCTTTTTTTTTTTTTTTTTTCAGGACACCTTTCTGGGAAACAGGCTGGCTTACATGGCTTTCTTCTCTCCTCTCAGGAATTCATAATTCCTTAATTCTCAGAGTACTTGATGCATTTTAGGGGCTCACTGAGTGTTCAAGTAATTGTAATATTTCAGAGAGAAACAGATTAAGCCCAGAAATTAGAAAGAATAGGAAGAAAACTAGTAGAATCAAGGGACAAGAGAATATTTAAAAACTATAAACAAGGCCAATTCCAGTGAGAATTCACAGAGTGGGACTTTTCCTTCTGAAGAATAACTAATCCTTTTGGTGCATTTAGTTTAAGTGTAATAGGGTCAGAGGCAAATTGCAGAAGTTAAGGAAATTGAGATTGCCAGTATAGTAAGGAAGCTTGAATCTGAAGAGATGGCAGGGGTTTGGGGATCCACAATTCTGGGCAGGAATTTTATAAATTGGGGAAGATCTGAGCATACCTACAGACAGGAGGCAGTAAAGACGGATGGCTGAAAATCAAAAGCAATTGCCATTCTGTTCCACTTTCTCTATTTTTCCTCCCTCTTCTTTCTCCTTTAAGACATTTATCCTACTTCCTTTTTTCTTTGGATCCTTAGTGTGCACTTTTCTAAAACGTAATCCTGTGATTTCCAAATTTCAGCTAGAATTCAGCTGGATAGTGTATTTTAATTTCAAATTTTCTATGTGCAAACGGAACCCTTTCCCCTTCCATCAAAAATTGTCTGCCGTTCATATTCCATTTTTGGTCATCATCAATCAATTTTAAGTCTTGGAGATAGAACCTCTGAAATATCATTTGTATGCATTCTTATTTATTTCCAACACTTTTCCCCTAATACATGTACTCATTAATTTTAATGTGAGATGTTTATTTTAATCCGAGAGAGTGATATATCAGATTCTATATTTCTTTTTCTGACTTTTATCTCTTCAAGCTCTCTTTCCATGACGTATTTCTCAGGCTGCTGCATGCATAAGTTTCTAAAACTTTAATTTCACCTGCTTATTTCAAAAGTCCCCAGAGTGGATTTGCTTAGTCCTATTAGTTAATTATTATACAAATTTTAATTGAAAGAAAACTTACCTTTCCATGTTTATTTCCAATTACTTTTTCCTAATCCTCTACATTTAGATACAATCATTATTAATTATCTCTGCCCTTTCTCCACGGACTCACACTTTCCTGCAACTCTGTACTGCCTTAAACTATTTCCTCTGCCTTTCTCTCCCTTTCTCACACATTCACATAGCTCGCTACATTCTATCTTCAAAGCAAAACTAATATAACAATAACTTTACAAATATTCTTTGATAGCCTCCTCTATAATATCACTAAATAACTATCTTTGGTCAGTAGGAATTTTCATTAAGCAAATGAAACTTACATAATTGCTAATTAAATTGTCTTCCTTATTTAAATGTAAATTTCTAAAGGCAAGAGGCTTATCAACCTCACTTTTATTTCCCTTAAACTGATAAAGTATGAATACACGGCAGAATAATGGATAAACACCAAGGGCTTATAGTACCATAGGTACAGAACACTGACATTATTGACAATATAAAATTTTAGAATGACGTTATTGCCTTAAATGGATTTTAAAGATATCAGACAGTTTGAGAAATGTCTGCCAATTATTATTTAAATAATTCCCATCACTACTCTTTGTAGTAATTTTGCTTTTCTGAGGAAAAGTTTATCGGAAAGACAAAACTTGAAGGATGTAACCACTTTAAATGTCAAATACAGTTCTGGATAATTTTACACTGATTTGCTAATGGGTATAATAAATAACCAATTCATTGTAATAAAATGAAATTGAGCCTGAAATTAATTAGTTAATTTATATTAAAATACTTGGTTAATTTTTCATTGAGTAAAAACTATCAATTCACCGATTAATCAAGACCATATTTTTCATGGACATTTTGGTTACTAGACACATCATTATATTTCAGGTATTAAGGTATATGAAGAAAATACATAATTCTCTAGTCTAATACATTTCCCACAGGCTGGATTTGCTCTAATTGACCTCTACAGATACATTAATACATGAGCATATTAGGAAAAACCTGGAGAACTCAAATTTAAGGTCATCTCTTAATCACGGCTCTAGTGATTTAACATCTAGAGTTTCTTGTAATCATTCTTGACCCATAGCCACCTACAATGGTTTCATTTTGGACCCAAATGTCAGAAGAAAATTAAAGTTTTGTAGTGTCAAAAGTTGTGTTCAGAGAAAACTGGACAGGACTGATATATTTAATTCTTACCTGGTTAATCTCTCCTTCATTTTTGTTGTTTTAAGGTACACATGAAAAATGAATGCATACAGTAATGTGAGACCTTTAGTTCATTTAGAAAAAATAATATTAAGCATTTCTAATTAAAATTTCAATTTAGGACTGGAATTTGAAAATGAAATGGCATTCACCGATGCTGAAAAATCAAATTTGGTGTTTTACCTTTTTATGTATTTCAAATAGATATAGTAATATTAAAGAAAATGGTAAAGGGTATAATATTTCACAGATTAACTTCATATAAGGAGCATTATTGATTATATAATGGCATTCCTTATAATCAATAAGTCATCTTTTTGGTTTAGAACTGGATTTGAATGGTAAAAAAAAAATGCCAGTATCTTCAAAAAAGATCCTTAAAATAAGAAAAAGAGTTAACCTACAGACTAAATGGTGAAGCCATGATAAATCTGTGTCCTCTGTGAATTATTCTCAAAGAAATGCATGTAATATTAACCTTAAAAGTAGAGTTATGTAAATTAAAAACTGTCTACAAAAATCAATATTTATTAACTAAATGCATTATACAAATCACTATTTTAAATGCAATGGTATACAAAAATAATAAGCGACAGTTCCAAACATCAAAGGAAGTATAATTTATTTGGAAAAACTAACACTACATAAGATGACAAATGATAAAACAAGATGACCTGTATCAATTATGGCCATCATGAGATTTATAACCAGGAAGGCTGCATAGAGGGCAATAAAACTTGAAAAAAACAAAAAGATGTCATAAATGTTATAATAAACAGACAGAAAGAGGGTGGACATTACATGTAAGGAATATATAATGCTGGTGGATATTGTACGTAAGGTAAAGTGTTCAAGGAACATTCAGAGAATAGCTAGTAGATCAATATAGAGGAAGTTGTCTTTATGTATAATATGGGTAATATATTATCATTGGAGAAACAGTTTTGAAAAGACATTGGAGGATCTCAAAAGCCATGGTAAATGTCAAGCCTTAAGTTTTTCTCCATTAATTATTTATAAATAGATACTGACA